CATCCCCATTTTTAGCTTCTCACCCCCATTTTTAGTTTCTCACCCCCATTTTAGTTTCTCACCCCCATTTTTAGTTTCTCACCCCCATTTTTTAGTTTCTCACCCCCATTTTTGGGCTCTCACCCCCATTTTTAGTTTCTCACCCCCATTTTTGGGCTCTCACCCCCATTTTTAGTTCCTCACCCCCATTTTAAGTTTCTCACCCCCATTTTAAGTTTCTCACCCCCATTTTTGGGCTCTCACCCCCATTTTTGAGCTCTCACCCCCATTTTTAGTTCCTCACCCCCATTTTAAGTTTCTCACCCCCATTTTTGGGCTCTCACCCCCATTTTTGGGCTCTCACCCCCATTTTAGTTTCTCACCCCCATTTTTGGGCTCTCACCCCCATTTTTGGGCTCTCACCCCCATTTTAGTTTCTCATCCCCATTTTTAGGCTCTCACCCCCATTTTTAGTTTCTCACCCCCATTTTTGGGCTTTCATCCCTATTTTTTAGTTCCTCACCCCCATTTTTAGTTTCTCACCCCCATTTTTAGTTTCTCATCCCCATTTTTTAGTTCCTCATCCCCATTTTTAGTTTGTCACCCCCATTTTTGGGCTTTCATCTCCATTTTTTAGTTTCTCACCCCCATTTTTTAGTTTCTCACCCCCATTTTTAGTTTCTCACCCCCATTTTTGGGCTCTCACCCCCATTTTTTGGCGTTCTCACCCCATTTTCCGCCCTCCTCTCCCGCAGCCTCCGCAGCTCCAGCAGCAAACTGGCCCAGCTCACCCTGGAACAGATCCTGGAGCACCTGGACAACCTCAGGCTCAACCTCACCAACACCAAGCACAACTGTGGGTCCCTCCCCCCACCCTGGGCTGTTCCATTTGGGTCTGGGGTCCCTCCTTGCCCTGACCCTCCCCGTTTTCCCCCCAGTTTTCAGCCAGACCCCGATCCTGCAGGCGCTGCAGCACGTCCAGGCCAGCTGTGATGAAGCTCACAAGATGAAGTGAGACCCCTCCCCACACCTCTCCCTCCCTTCCTGAAGACCCCAGACCCCCCCTGAGCCCCTCTGGTGCCCCCCCAGGTTCTCGGATCTCTTCTCCCTGGCCGAGGAATACGAGGATTCCTCCAGCAAACCCCCCAAGAGCCGCCGCAAGGCCACGGCCCTGGCCAGCCCCCGCAGCCGCAAAAATGCAGCACAGCCCCCCAACAACGAGGAGGAGTCTGGCTCCAGCAGCGCCTCGGTGAGACCCCCACCCTCCCCGAGACCCCTCTGAGCCCCCCAAATCCCGTGTGACCCCCCCTTCAATGTCCCTGCAGGAGGAGGAGGACACCAAACCCAAACCGGCCAAGAGGAAAAGGAAAGGTTCCTCTGCTGTGGGGTCGGACAGTGACTGAGGGGTGGGACCCCTCCGGGACTCCTCCCACACCATGGGGACCCCCCCCACCATGGGGACCCCCCTCGGGACCCTCCCCACCATGGGGAACCCCCCAGGACCCCCCAGACCGGTGCCAGCAAATCCCCAAGCTCGGGGTCCCCATCACTCCCTTACCCCCCCTCCCCTCCCTTTTCACCACCTGGGGAGGGGTCGCGCTGCCCCCCCCCACCCCCAGGACCCCCCCATTGTTGGTGGGACCCCCCCTCAGGGGACAAGGGGGGCACCCCCAGCCCCATTTTCCTCCAGAAGTGTAAATAAAGGGTGGAACCGAGTGGCTGCTCCAGGATGATTTGGGGAGGGGGAGTTGGGGGGTCCTGGGCTGGGGGGGGGCAGCATTTGGGGAGGGGTCCTGCCCCGCCCCCGGAGCGTTTTTAAGTGTTTTTAAAAAAAGCAGCAATAAAAACTTTCCTGTTTTGTATTGAATGGACCCAATTTGTGACATTGGGGGGGGGTCGTGTGTTCCTCCCCCCCCAAAAGGGGAGACATGGGGGGACAGGGGAAGGGACAGAGGGGACAATGGGGGGGACACGGAAGAGGACAAGGGCGGGTGACAATGGGGAGGGGACAGAGGGGACAGAAGGGGGAACAGTGGAGGTGACAATGGGGAAAATTGGGAGGGGGCAGAAGGGACAGGGAAGGGGACGGGGGGGGACAGAGGGGACAATGGGGGGTGACAGTGGGGAGCAGACAGAGGGGACAATGGGGGGTGACAGTGGGGAGCAGACAGAGGGGACAATGGGGGGTGACAGTGGGGAGCAGACAGAGGGGACAATGGTGGGGGACAGAGGGACAATGTGGGGGTGACAGTGGGGAGCAGACAGAGGGGACAATGGGGGGGGACAGAGGGACAATGTGGGGGTGACAATGGGGAGCAGACAGAGGGGACAAAGGGCGGGGACAGAGGGACAATGTGGGGGTGACAATGGGGAGGGGGTAACGAGGAGGGGACAATGGGGACAATCGGGGACAATGGGGGGGTGACAGCGTGAAGGGGGCAGAAGGGAGGGGACAGAGGGGACCGCGGGGGGGTTTGGGTTTGGCAGAGGGATTGGGGGGGGTTCAGAGTGGGCGTGTCCAAAGTGGGCGTGGTCAGTGGGCGTGGCCAAGGTTATTCAAATTTTTAAAAATTTACAATTAAAAATTAATTAAAAATAAATGAAAAACAAAATAAAAGCTGTAAAGTGCTGTAAAGTGAAGTGCCAGAAAAGGTGCCGTAAAATTTCCATGAAATGAAGCGCCCTAAAGCGCGACGGTCGCAAAACTGTCGTAAAATAAAATTAAAAAAACCAAAAGCTTTAAAAATAGAAAAATTAAAAATAAAAATAAAATGAAAAAATTTAAAAATAAAATAAATGCTTTAAAAATAGAAAAAATTGAAAATAAAAATTAAATAAAAAATAAAATTAAAAAATAAAATAAATGCTTTAAAAAAAGAAAAATAAAAAATAAAAATTAATTAAAAAATAAAATTAAAAAAATAAAATAAAAGCTTTAAAAATAAAAAAATTTAAAAAAAAATATTAAAAAAACCCCAAAAGCTTTAAAAATAGAAAAATTAAAAATAAAAATTAAATAAAAAATAAAATTTAAAAAATAAAAAAATGCTTTAAGAATAGAAAAATTATTAAAAAATTAAATAAAATAAATAATAAATAAAATAAAAGCTATCAAAATAGAAAAATTAAAAATAAAAAATAATTTTAAAATAATATCAAAAAAACCCAAAAGCTTTAAAGATAGAAAAATTAAAAACAAAAATAAAATTTAAAAAAATTTAAAAATAAAATTAAAAAAAAATTAAAAATAAAATAAATGCTTTAAAAATAGAAAAATTGAAAATAAAAATTAAATAAAAAATAAAATAAAAAAATAAAATAAATGATTTAAAAATAAAAAAAAATTAAATAAAAAATAAAATTAAAAAATAAAATAAAAGCTTTAAAATAGAAAAATTTAAAAAACTTTAAAAAATAGAAAAAATAAAATAAAAAGCTTTAAAAATAAAAAAATTAAAAATAAAAATTAAACAAAAAAATAAATCTCTAAAACCAGAAAAATTAAAAATAAAAATTAAATTAAAAAATTTTAAAATTAAATAAAAAGCCTTAAAAATAGAAAAATTGAAAATTAAAATTTAATTTAAAGATTTAAAAATTAAATAAAAAGCTTTAAAAACAGAAAAATTGAAAATTAAAATTAAATTTAAAAATTAAAAAATTAAATAAAAAGGTTTAAAAACAGAAAAATTAAAAATAAAAATTAAAAAAAAATTAAAAAATAAAATAAAAAGCTTTAAAAATAGAAAAATTTAAAATAAAAATTAAATAAAAAAATAAAAAAACTAAAAATAAAATCTTTAAAAATAGAAAAATTAAAAATAAAACTTAAATAAAAAAATTTAAAAATTAAATAAAAAGCTTTAAAAATAGAAAAATTAAAAATAAAAATTAAATAAAAAAAAAAAATTTAAAATAAAATCTTTAAAAATAGAAAAATTAATAATAAAACTTAAATAAAAAAATTTTAAAATTAAATAAAAAGCTTTAAAAATAAAAAAATAAAAATTAAAATTAAATAAAAAATTTAAAAATAAAATAAAAATATTTTAAAATAGAAAAATTAAAAATAAAAATTAAATAAAAAAATAAAAAAATAAAATAGAATCTTTAAAAACAGAAAAATTAAAAATAAAAATTTAATGAAAAAATTTAAAAATTAAATAAAAAGCCAAAAAATAGAAAAATTGAAAATTAAAATTAAATTTAAAAATTAAAAAACTAAATAAAAAGCCTTAAAAATTGAAAAATTAAAATTTAAATAAAAAGATTTAAAACCAGAAAAATTAAAAATAACAATTAAATTTTAAAAGAATTAACAAAATAAAATAAAAGCTTTAAAAATAAAAAAATTAAAAATCAAAATTAAATTGAAAAAATTTTAAAAAGGCTGCAAAAAAAGAAAAATAAAAAATAATAAAAAAAATTTAAAAAAATAAAATTAATTAAAAATTAATGAAAAACAAAATAAACACTGTGAAGTACCGTAAAAGTTCCATAAAAGGTAGTGCCAAAATGCACGACTGTCGTAAAACTGCCGTAAAGCGCGACCGTCGCAAAAGGTGTCGTAAAATACGCCCGTCGTAAAGGTGCCGTAAAGTGCGACAGTCGTAAAGTGTCGCAAAGGTGCCGTAAAGCGCGGATATCGTAAAGTGTCGTAAAAGGTGCCGTAAAGCGCGACTGTCGTAAAAGGTGCCGTAAAGCGCGGATGTCGCAAAAGTGCCGTAAAGCGCGACTGTCGCAAAAGGTGCCGTAAGGCGCGGATGTCGCAAAAGGTGCCGTAAAGTGCGACTGTCGCAAAAGGTGTCGTAAAGTGCGACTGTCGTAAAGTGTCGTAAAGCGCGATTGTCGTAAAAGGTGCCGTAAAGCGCGACTGTCGTAAAAGGTGCCGTAAAGAGCGACTGTCGTAAAACTGCCGTAAAGCGCGACTGTCGCAAAAGGTGCCGTAAAGCGCGGGTGTCGTAAAAGGTGCCGTAAAGTGCGACTGTCGTAAAGTGTCGTAAAGCTGCCGTAAAGCGCGGATGTCGTAAAAGGGGTCGTAAAGCGCGACTGTCGCAAAAGGTGCCGTAAAGCGCAGATGTCGTAAAAGGTGCCGTAAAGTGCGACTGTCGCAAAAGGTGCCGTAAAGTGCGACTGTCGTAAAGTGTCGTAAAGCTGCCGTAAAGCGCGGACGTCGTAAAAGGGGTCGTAAAGCGCGACTGTCGTAAAAGGTTGCGTAAAGCGCGACTGTCGCAAAACTGCCGTAAAGCGCGACTGTCGTAAAATGTGTCGTAAAGCGTGACTGTCGCAAAAGTGCCGTAAAGCGCGACTGCCGTGAAGTGTCGTAAAAGGTGCCGTAAAGCGCGATTGTCGTAAAAGGTGGCGTAATGCGCGACTGACGTAAAAGGGGCTGTAAAGCCCGACTGTCGCAAAAGGGGCAGTAAAGCCCGACTGTGGTAAACGGCAGTGCTGTAAGGCTCTGGTCGAGGACGCTGCTTCTGCAGCATCGAGGCTGGTGACACACCCGTGTAATGATGGGACAAACTCACTCTGCCCACGACAGAGACCTCTATAAGCAACTAAAGCCTTTCTAAAGTTCCATGCCAAGTCAGTTACCGAAACAGGAGCCAAAAATCCTTTTAGAATGAACTTTATTGAATTTTTCCAATGCTGACCGTTCAGCTGTGTTTACCAGACCTTTGGACACAGTTTGTATAAAGCACTTTAATAGCATCTCCCGCCCGGATTTGGCTGCCGGGGAGCTGCTCCCAGCTTGCCGGGCGCTGCTTGAGCTGTGTTTGCCGCACGGGGGATGCCCCCCGCAGCTGCCACGCCGAGCTCCGCCCCTCCTGCGACTCCGCCCCTCGCCGCCGCGAGTCTCCAGCCGGACACGCCCCCCATTTCCCCGTCGGACGCCGCCGCTCCGGTACCCGCGGTCCTGCTCGCCCCTGCCGCCCCGCCCCCCGCCCTCGCGGTCCCGACACCCCCCCCCCCCCGGCCCCGGCCAACCCCCGGCCCCTCCCACCGCTGCCGCCATCCCCGCCTTTGCCATCCCGTCGGTCCCGGCTGTCCCAGGCCCCGCCCCTCAATCCCGCCCACCGGCGTCACCGGCCCCGCCCCCTCCTGCCGCCGCCGCTCCCCCCCCCCCCGTTCCCCGCGAGTGCGGCCGCTCCCGCCCCCCCCCCCACGTCCCCCTCGCCCCCTTTGCCGACACAGCGGGGCCGGTGCTGGCCCAGGTCCCGTCGCTGCTGCCGCGTCTCTGCCGTTCCCTGCGGCTCCCGGATCTGCGGTGCGAGCGCTCCTGGCGCGGCCGCGCTGCGCCCCCTGCGGACGCTGCCGCGGGAAGCTCTGCCCCCCCCCCACCCTCGCGTTCCAGTGCACGCCGCACACCCCGAGCTGCCCACGGGCCCCGTGGCAGTGCAAACGCCCCCGGCTGACCCCGTCCCTGCCGGCGTTTGGCCGCAATCCCCCGGTCCCGGCACGGCACCGCTTGCGCTGGGACCGGAGCGCCCCGGCCCGCCCAGCCCGCCCGTGCCGGCGCCGCGGCGTCCGCACCGGTGGCTGCAGCCTCTGCCGTGCCTGCCGCCGCTCCAGCCCCGCCTCTGCCGTGCCCCGCCGCAGGGCAAACGCCCCCGGCTGACCCCGTCCCTGCCGGCGTTCCGGCGCAATCCCCCGGCCCCGGCACGGCCCCGCTTGCGCTGGGAGCGGAGCGCCCCAGCCCGCCCAGCCCGCCCGTGCCGGCGCCGCGGCGTCGGCACCGGTGGCTGCAGCCCGCCCGTGCCTGCCGCCGCTCCAGCGCTGCCTCTGCCGTGCCTGCCGCCGCTCCAGCGCTGCCTCTGCCGTGCCTGCCGCCGCTCCAGCGCTGCCTCTGCCGTGCCTGCCGCCGCTCCAGCCCAGCCTCCCGTCCGCGCCGCCCCTGCCCGCCGGACCAGCAGCCACCCCAGCTCCCAGCGGCTGCACGCCGCGGCCCCCCCGCCGCCTCCCCGCCGCTCCTCCCGCCTCCCGGGATCATCTCCCGCTGACGAGGCCGCCCCGCCGCCGCCCGTGGTCGCTTTCCCGCTCCTGCCGCCGCCGCTCCATGGCGGGCGGAGCCGCGCCTTCCCCAGCGCAGCCCCCCGCTTCAGAGCTTCTGGATAGCGCGGCTCCGCCGCCTCCTGCAACCACGGGGGTCCCGGCGTTCCTTTCCACAGCCGCAGCCCCGCGCCCGCCCGCCATGATGACTGCCCTAGTGACGCAACCCACGCATGCGCAGTTGCTACAACGCCGCACCATCAATATCACTCCGCGCCGCCTCATCCAACCACGGCGCTGCTCCGCCGGCACCCCGCACTGCTTTGGCCGCCGCTTTGGTACAGCGCGGTCCCGGTTCCGAGCCGCTGCGTGCCGCTGTCCGGACACAGCCGGCATCCCTGTGCGCTGGCACGGTGCTTCCGCCGCCACCGGGTCCGTACAGGGCACCGCAGCAGACGAAAACTGCAGCGCCGCGCGTGTATCCTTCCGCGTTCCTCGCTCTGCCGGACCTCTCTCGGCCGCATCACCGAGAGATCCCTCCGCAGCGCGCGACCCTGCACAACCGACACCTGATATCCCTCCGCGTTTTCGCCTTCGCACTCCCAGCACCGAGTGGGACTACTTTGTGTCACGATTCGTCCGCACACAAACCGGGCAACGAGGCTGGAATATGACAGCTGCTTTAATAAATACAGGACAGACAGAGAATTATTTCGCCCCTGCAAATGCCGACCCTTTGATCCCAACAATAAAAAAAAAAATTTCGAAAAAGAGCTGTTCCCAAATAGCTCCAGAGTCCCCCCCCAGTGTTTGGGACAGATTTCTCGACCCAAAATGAGACACACTAAACCCTGAAAATTGGCCAGCATTAATCCCAAATTAGAAAACTCACTGAAATCTTTTGATAATTTTCAATGAACAGACTGGGATGAAGTCAGAGGCCAGATTTGCAAGGAAGAAAGTCCAAATCCTTTAGCTATGCCTGTGCCATTCAGCCAGCGAGGCGGTGGTCCCAGAACACGGGTGGCTGTCCCACCTCATGAGATGAAAGAATTGCGAAAAGCAATAAGGGACGGTGGCATCTGCTGCCCATATTTTAGGCAGCTGCTGAAAAGCGCCCTGGAAGGACAGACAGACACCAAATGGCTGTAAAAATCCTGCTGGTGTAATTCTCACAGCCTCACAATGTATGCTGTGGGAAATTAAGACTGCTCACAGGGGTACAAGCCACTTATAGACAAAGTACTGATGCAGATCTTCGTACCCTTGTTGTGTCTAAGCTGGACTGGTGACCCTCCTGATGATCAGAATTATAACCGAGTGAATTTACCCAGAACAGCGTTAGGTGGCATTAAAAAGATGGCTCTTTTTGCAAATTCAGTGTGAAAAACGCCGATCACTTGGTTTTTAAAATGTTAAAAGTTTCATAGTGACAAAATGGTTATAAAAATAGTAATACAATTGGAGTAATAATAATTTGGACAATTTGGATTAGGACAATATGAGACAATAATTACAAAGAGTTACAGACAGTCTGGGTACCTTTTTCTGGGCAGCACCAGCCCAAAAAAGGCCCCACGTTAACAAAGGGTTAACCCTTAAAAACAATAACCTGTTCCATGTTCATACACTTCACACATGATGCATAAATTCCATTCAAACACAGGATTCTGTCTGGTCATCTTCAACTTCTTCCTTCTAATCCTGACAGCGCCTTTGAGGTGGGAAGAAGTTCATTTCTCCTGATAATGGAGCAATAAATTCTTTTTCTCTGAAAGATTGAGGTGTTCTGTGGCTGCTATCTCAATGCGAGTCCTTTCTTTAAAAGAAGTAACCTACACAGCATCGTTTCTATTTTAACAATTTTTATAACCTAAAACTCTATTTAACACACTACTTAAGAGAATGAAAACAGCATCACTTTCTAACACAACACATCTAATATTCATTTGAATATTTGCGAAAAGCCAATCATAAAATACGTGCATTTTTGCAAATTCGGCCTGCAGGAAGTTTTGAAAAAAGCCTATAATCCGATTAGCCAAGACTCCTCTGAACCATTTACCACATCTGTGGACCGGGTAATGCAAGGAGCAGAAAGACAATGTGGTGATGATACAGCTCACCCAATAATGATATGAGATATCATTGAAAATAATGGAAATGCAGAATGTAAAAGAGTTATCAAAGCCCTGGGAAAAGAAAAACCCACAGTGCCTGAAATGATCGATGTAACAAAACTGGGAGTCCACAGCAAGTGGCAATTATCCAGGCAAATGAACTTGGAAAAACTCTAGGAGAAAAAAATTGAAAGGGCTCTTACAGCTGCACAGGCGGCACAAGCAGAAGCTTTACCTGTAAAATTTTGATTTTTTAAAATTCAGATTTAGGTGGTTTTGAGGTGAAATTTTGATTTTTTTTTTCATTTGAATTTTGGGCGTTCTGAACCAAAATTTCAGGGTTTTGGGGGTGAAATGAAACAGGAAAGCCTTATCAATATGATTGTCTGGCAAAAGATTTTGAGAATATGGAAACTATGAGTGAGTTTGAAATGAAAGCAAGCTTTGAGATCCCTCAGTTACTGAACAACAGGAAAACAACGCTGTGGCTGCTGAAGGTAAATCCCCTTTTGATGGAACAATCCCTCTGCTTACAGGTCCAAGGGTCAGAGCAGACCCTGCCAGCGCAGCAGAAGGGGCCCAAAGAGGAGTTTTTAGGGTTTAAAATGTAACACAGTGTGGTGATGTAGTGATTCTTATAGGCTGTATGTAAATGCTGTAGGATTTGTGTATTGGACTGGATTGGTGAGTGAGAATCAGAATATTCAGCACAGAAGAAGATTTATTGTATTGGAACGGGAACTTTGCTGTCTTAGCTCTTTCTATGCTCTTGTCTCTTAGCTCTTATCCCTTTTACCTTCTTATGCTCCCTCACCCTCTCATCCTCTCTCCCCCTCTCTTCCCTCAGTCCTGCTCCAGCTGTGCCTGGCAGCTCCCAGCAGGGCCCTGCACCCAGGCCCTGTGCAATAAACCCCAAATCCCAAAAATCCCCTGCACCCAGGCCCTTTGCAATAAACCCCAAATCCCAAAAATCCCCTGCACCCAGGCCCTTTGCAATAAACCCCAAATTCCAGCAGGGCCCTGCACCCAGGCCCTTTGCAATGAACCCCAAATCCCAAAACTCCCCTGCACCCAGGCCCTGTGCAATGAACCCCAAACTCCAAAAGGTCTCTGCACCCAGGCCCTCTGCAAAAACCCAAAATCCCAGCAGGCCCCTGCACCCAGGCCCTGTGCAATAAACCCCAAATCCCAGCAGGGCCCTGCACCCAGGCCCTTTGCAATAAACCCCAAATCCCAGCAGGGCCCTGGACCTAGGCCCTTTGCAATGAACCCCAAATCCCAAAAATCCCCTGCACCCAGGCCCTTTGCAATAAACCCCAAATCCCAAAAATCCCCTGCACCCAGGCCCTTTGCAATAAACCCCAAACTCCAAAAGGCCCCTGCACCCAGGCCCTGTGCAAAAACCCCAAATCCCAAAAATCCCCTGCACCCAGGCCCTTTGCAATAAACCCCAAATCCCAGCAGGGCCCTGCCCCAGGCCCTTTGCAATAAACCCCAAATCCCAAAAATCCCCTGCACCCAGGCCCTGTGCAATAAACCCCAAATCCCAAAAATCCCCTGCCCCCAGGCCCTTTGCAAAAACCCCAAATCCCAGCAGGGCCCTGCACCCAGGCCCTGTGCAATTAACCCCAAATCCCAAAAGGCCCCTGCACCCAGGCCCTTTGCAATAAACCCCAAATCCCAAAAATCCCCTGCACCCAGGCCATTTGCAATGAACCCCAAATCCCAGCAGGGCCCTGCCCCAGGCCCTTTGCAATAAACCCCAAATCCCAGCAGGGCCCTGCACCCAGGCCCTTTGCAATGAACCCCAAATCCCAAAAATCCCCTGCCCCAGGCCCTTTGCAATGAACCCCAAATCCCAAAACTCCCCTGCCCCAGGCCCTTTGCAATAAACCCCAAATCCCAAAACTCCCCTGCACCCAGGCCCTTTGCAATGAACCCCAAATCCCAAAACTCCCCTGCACCCAGGCCCTGTGCAATGAACCCCAAATCCCAAAAATCCCCTGCACCCAGGCCCTTTGCAATGAACCCCAAATCCCAGCAGGGCCCTGCCCCAGGCCCTTTGCAAAAACCCCAAATCCCAAAAATCCCCTGCCCCAGGCCCTTTGCAATAAACCCCAAATCCCAAAAATCCCCTGCACCCAGGCCCTTTGCAATGAACCCCAAGTTCCACGCCCTGCCTGCAGAGATCTCTCGTCTCTGTCTGTCCCGACCATGCCACCCCCTGTCACTCCTACAATGGGGACACCCTCAGGACCCTCCCCACCATGGGGACCCCCCCCAGGACCCTCCCCACCATGGGCACCCCCCCCAGGACCTACCCTGTTATGGGGAACCCCTCGGGACCCCCCTTTCCATGGGAACCCCCCAGGACCCCCCAGACCGGTGCCAGCAAATCCCCAAGCTCGGGGTCCCCATCACTCCCTTACCCCCCCTCCCCTCCCCTCCCTTTTCACCACCTGGGGAGGGGTCGCGCTGCCCCCCCCCACCCCCAGGACCCCCCCATTGTTGGTGGGACCCCCCCTCAGGGGACAAGGGGGGCACCCCCTGCCCCATTTTCCTCCAGAAGTGTAAATAAAGGGTGGAACCGAATGGCTGCTCCAGGATGATTTGGGGAGGGGGAGTTGGGGGGTCCTGCCCCCCCCGCCATGAGCGTTTTTAAGAAAAGCAGCAATAAAAACTTTCCTGTTTTGTACCGAACGGCCCCGATTTGTGACACGGCGGGGGCGGGGGTCGTGTGTCCCTTCCCCCTAAAAGGGGTGACATGGATGGGACTCGGTGGCACCACGGGGAAGTGACACTGCCAACCCCCCCCGCTGACACTGCCAGCCCCCAATGGTGACACTGTCACAGCCCCCCCCAGCAATGGTGACACTGCCAGCCCCCCCCCCGGGACAGGGGGAATCTGGGACACGGAGGGAGCGGGGAGGCCCCGGAGGGGGACAGGGGAGGGACAGAGGCGATAATGGGAGGGGACAGGAGAGAGTGGGGAGGGGACAATGGGGAAAATGGGGAGGGGACAGAAGGGAGGACAGAGGGGACAACTGGGGGGACAGAGGGACCAGGGGAGGGGACAGTGGGGACAATGGGCGGGGTGACGATGGGGGGGAAGAGAGGGGACAGAGGGGGGGACAATGGGGAGGGGACAATGGGGAGGGGACATTGAGGAGGGGACAGAGGTGACGCGGTGTGGGGGGCGGGGTTGTGCTTGGCAGAGGGGTCGGGAATGGGGGGGGTGGGCTCAGACCGGGCGCGTCCAAAGTGGGCGCGGTCAGTGGGCGTGGCCAGGGTGGGCGTGTCCGCCCCGCCCCCGAGGCGGGCGCGGGCGATGGCGCTGGCGGCGGCGCTGGGGGCGCTGGGGGCTCTGGGGGGGCTCCTGGGGGGGCTCCTGGGGGCGCTGGCTCTGGGGGGGCTCCCGGGGGCTCCCGGCCCCGCTCTGGGGGCGCTGCTGGCGGCTCTGGGGGCGCTGCTGGCGCTGCAGCGGCTGCTCCGGCCGCACCTCTGGGCCGACCTGGCGTTCGCGCTGCGGGCGCTGCGGGTGCGGCGGCGGGCGCGGGGCGGCCCCGGGGGCTGCGTGGCCTCCCGGTTCCTGCGGGCGGCCCGGGCGGCCCCGGCTCGGCCGTTCCTGCGGGGCCGGCACGGAGCGGAGCCGCTGGGGCGGGCGGCGCGGAGCGTGGCGCGGGTGGCGAACGCGCTGCGGGCGCTGCGGGCCCCGCCGCGGCCCGGGGACACCGTGGGGCTCCTGGTGGGCAACGAGCCCCGATTCGTGTGGGGCTGGTTCGGGCTGGCGGCGCTCGGAGCCCGCCCGGCCTTCCTGGGCACGGCGCTGCGCCCCGCGGGGCTCCGGCACTGCCTGAGAGGCTGCGGGGCGAGGGCGCTGCTGGTGGCGGACGGTGAGAACCGGGGACACCGGGGGATAGCGGGGGGACAGCGGGAAACGTTCTGGGAAAAGGGCCCGGAGGAAGCGGGGGGACACCGGGGGGACCGAGGGATAACGGGGGGACCGAGGGGACCGAGGAATGGAGGGGGAAAGGCACCGGGAAAACCGGGGGATAACGGGGGGACACCGGGAGGGGAGCGGGGACCGTGCGGGGAAAAGCGCCCAGAGGAAGCGGGGGAACACCGAGGGGACCGAGGAACGGAGGGGGAAAGGCACCGGGGGGACCGGGGGATGACGGGGGGACACCGAGGAGAGCGGGAGGGGACCAAGGAATGGAGGGGGAAAGGCACCGGGAAAACCGGGGGGGACCGGGGGATAACGGGGACCACGGAGTGCGAAGATCCCGGGGTATAACGGGGACAGAGCCGGGATCCTGGGATACCGGGGGATGAGAGGACCGGGAACAGGAGTGGGACCAGGGGAGTAAAGAACGGGGACGAAGGGGACAAGGAGTGGGTGGCCCCGGGGATCGGTGGTGACACCGGGGATGGCACTGGGGATGGGGTGGTGGCCCCGGGGATACGGTGGTGGCACTGGGGATGGGGTGGTGGCACTGGGGATGGGGTGGTGGCCCCGGGGATGCGGTGGCGGCCCCGGGGATGGCACTGGGGATGGGGTGGTGGCACCGAGGATGGGGTGGTAGCCCCGGGGATGGGGTGGTGGCCCCGGGGATGCGGTGGTGGCACTGAGGATGGGGTGGTGGCCCCGGGGCCAGCCGGGCGGTCCCCACACGGTTCCGTCCCCCCCAGACCTGTTCGGCTCGGTGGAGCCGCTCCTGCCCAGCCTGCGGGAGGACGGGGTCGCCGTGTGGGTGCTGGGAGCGGGGCCGTACCCGGAGGGCGTCGTGGCGCTGCAGGAGCTGCTGGACGCGGCCTCCGAGGAGCTGCAGCCCGAGGAGGTTTGGGAGCCCGAGGACATGAACGACACCTGCCTCTACATCTTCACCTCGGGCACCACCGGTGCGGCCGGCACCGGGAACCGGGAACCGGGAGGGGGCTCAGGCTGAGCCGAGGGGGGCTCAATTCTTGTTTTCCTCTCCCAGGCCTCCCCAAAGCCGCCCGCGTGTCCCACCTCAAGGCCGTCATGTGCCTGAGCTTCTACGAGCTGGTGGGAGCCTCCAGCAAGGACGTGGTGTACCTGGCGCTGCCCCTCTACCACATGGCCGGGTCCCTGCTGGGCATCGTGGGCTGCCTGGGCATCGGTGAGCGGGGACGGGGGTCCCGGGGCTGCTTTGGGGGGTGTTTTGGGGCTGATCCCCCCCCTGCCCGTTCCGATGCCGCAGGAGCCACGTGTGTGCTGAAGGAGAAGTTCTCGGCCAGCCACTTTTGGGAGGATTGCCGCGCCGAGGGCGTCACGGTGTTCCAGTACATCGGGGAGCTCTGCCGGTACCTGGTGAACCAGCCCCAGGTAGGGCGGGGGCGGCTCGGGGGTCCCGGGGCCTCTCCCGGAGCTGGGGGGGGGGTCCCGGGGGTCCCCCCGAGCTGACGGTGGCCCTGGATTAGGGGGGGGTCCCGGGGGGTTCCCAGGAGCTGACGGTGGCCCTGGATTGTGGGGGGGGGGGGGGTCCCGGGGGTCCCCCCGGAGATGCGGGGGGGGTCTCGGGCCCGGGAAGGGGCCTTGGAGGCTCCCCCAGAGCTGAGGGTGGCCCCAGGCCGGGCTGGGGGGGTTCCCGGAGCTGGGGCGGGGGGGTCCCAGGGGCTCCCCCGGAGCTGACGGTGACCCTGGAGCTGGGGGGTCCTGGGGGGCTCTCCCGGAGCTGGGGGGGATCCCTGAGGGTTCCCGGAGCTGGGGGGATCCCGGGCTGGGGAGGGTCCCGGGGCTGTCCCGGGGCTGTCCCGGGTCTGTCCCGGGTCTGTCCCGCGGTCCCCCCCAGCTGACGGCGGCCCCGCAGCGGCCCGGGGAGCGGCAGCACGGGCTCCGGCTGGCCGTGGGCAGCGGGCTCCGGCCCGACGTGTGGCGGAGCTTCCAGCGGCGCTTCGGGCCCGTGCGGATCGTGGAGACCTACGGGATGAGCGAGGGCAACGTGACCCTGTTCAACTACACCGGCACCCCCGGCGCCGTGGGCCGATGCAGCTTCATCTACAAGGTCTGCGGGAAAATACGGTTGGGGAAAGGTTTATTTTTTTAAAGTAAATATATAAATATATTTTTTTTTTGTTGTGAGATGCGACTAGAAATAAAGTAGGGTTTAGGTTAGGAATCAAGGAAAAAAAAGTTTATTAATTTACAGTAATTAATACTTAATTAACATTATTATTAGTTATTAACAATTCTTATTATTTAATTATCTATTTAATGACATAATTATTAAGTAACCTTATTACTAAGGTTATTTAACTATTATTAGTTAAGAATTCATTATGTATTGATATTTATATATTATATACATATGTATATTAGATATACATACTATATTATATAAACATGTATATTATATATGCATATGTATATTATATATACATGTTTATATTATATATACATATATGTATATACAATATATATAAAACCTAAAATTAATATACATATTAATTTTAGGTTTTATATATATTGTATGGGGAGGTTAATATTAATAATGGGGAGGTTAATAATTAATACTACTATATATATATGTAGTATTAATTTTATACATATATATAATATTTAGGTTAGGAATAAAGGAAAAAAAAGTTTATTGTTTTACATTAATTAATAATTAATTAACCTTCTTCGTTATTAATAAACAATATTTAATTATCTATTTAATGACATAATTATTAATTAACCTCATTCGTAAGGTTAATTAACTATTAATAGATAATTATTTATTATGATTTCTATAATTTAAATATAATTTTATATAGATTATATTATATTTATATATAATAAATATAACCATTCCAATTTATATTTATTTCATTTCTATTTTTACTTACATTTGAATTTTATTTATATTCATTTCAATTTTCGTGACCCCAGTCCCCCTCAAATCCACTTTTTCATGAACCACCCGCCAGAACCAACCACTCCTCACTGACCTCCCCAAAATTCAAACCCGAGCTCTCTTTGCTTCGGCCACAACCTCCCAAAATTCTGATTTCCCGAGCGGTGCTGACCCCCCTGCCCCTGTCCCCAGCTCTTCTCCCCGTTCGAGGTCGTTCGCTACGACGTCGCTGCCGGAGCTCCAGAGCGGGACCGGAACGGGCGCTGCATCCGCGCCAGGACGGGTGAGGAGCGGCGGCACCGGGGGCACCGGGGGCGCCTTGGTTTATTCAAACAATGGTGGATCTTGAGCTGGAACTGACAGCCAAACGCTCTGGCAGTTTAGAGTTAGAAAGCAAATGTTTACTGCAGGATAACTCCCCCAAAATCCTCTAAATCCCTTAAAATTTGTGTTTCACCATCCCCTCAGGTGAGACAGGGGCCCGGTGACGCCCTAATTTTAATTAACTCCAATAAACTTATCTCTAAAATCTTAGCTCCTCTAAAAATCTCTACATTCCTTAAAATCTCTACATTCCTTAAAATCTCTAAATTCCTTAAAATCTCTAAATTCCTTAAATTTTTCTCCTCACCGTCCCCATCCCCACGGGTGAGACGGGGCCGCTGTGGCTTCCCGGACGCAGCTCTGGGCTATTTTAATGAACTCAAATAAAGCTAAAATCTCAGCTCCTCTAAAATCTCTTAAATTCCTTAAAATCTCTTAAATTCTCTAAAATCTTTAAATTCCTTCAAGGTTTGGCTCACTGTCCCCATCCCTGTCCCCATCCCCTCAGGTGACTCGGGGCTGCTGATCACCCCAGTGAGCCCCGGTTAAAATAATTAAAATAGCCGTTCCTGGGCTGTTTTAATTAACTCCAAATTCTCTGAATTCCTTAAATTTGGTGTCTCAGGTGAGACGGGGCTCCTGATCGCGCCGGTGACCCCCAGGACGCCGTTCCTGGGCTACGCGGGCAGCCGGGAGCTCTCGGAGCAGAAATTGCTCCGCGGGGTTTTCGCCGAGGGCGACGAATTCTTCAACACCGGGGACCTGGTGGAGCAGGACCGGGAGCAGTTCGTGCGCTTCAGGGACCGCACCGGGGACACCTTCAGGTGCCCGGGACACCCTGGGGTGGGGACACCCCCAGGGACACCCCCAGGGACTGGGGAGACCCCCAGGAACAGCCCCAGAGACACCCCCAGGATGGAGAGACCCCCAGAGCCCCCTGTGGGACAGGGACACCCCCAGGGATTGGGGAGACCCCCAGGGACACCCCCAGGGATTGGGGAGACCCCCAGGGACACCCCCAGAGCTCCCTGGGATGGGGACAGCCCCAGGGACACCCCCAGGGATTGGGGAGACCCCCAGGAACAGCCCCAGAGCTCCCCAGGATGGGAACACCCCCAGGGACACCCTCAGAGCCCCCAGGATGGGGAGACCCCCCAGGGACACCCCCAGGGATTGGGGAGACCCCCGGGGACACCCCCCAGAGCTCCCCGGGATGGGGACAGCCCCAGGGACACCCCCAGGGACTGGGGACACCCCCAGGGACACCCTCCAGGATGGGGACACCCTCAGAGCCCCCTGTGGGACAAGGACACCCCCAAGGACACCCCTGGCGTGGGGAGACCCCCCAGAGACCCCTCTGGGACAGGGACACCCCCAGGGACACCCCCAGAGCCCGTCCTAGAATGGGGACACTCCCAGGGACACCCTTGGGGTGCGGACACCCCCAGAGCCACCCCGGGATGGGGAGACCCCCCAGAGCCCCCTCCCCACGATGGGGACACCCCCAGAGCCCCCTGTGGGACAGGGACACCCCCAGAGCCGCCCCCTCACAATGGGGACACCCCCAGAGCCCCCTCCTTGCATGCCCAGGGGATCTCAGCCCTGTGGAATGTTCTGGGGGGTCCCAGGGGGTGCTCGGGGGTCCCCATTAAACATTTTTTGGGGTCTGGGGGGGGGTCTCTACCTGGTCTCCCCCAGGTGGAAAGGTGAGAACGTGGCCACCACCGAGGTGACCGAGGCACTGCTGGCCCACGAGTCCCTGCAGGACGCCACCGTCTACGGGGTCACCGTGCCAGGTACGGCCGCCACCCCCATCCCTGCAGTGTCCCCAAATGTCCCCAAAGGTCCCCAAATGTCCCTGATGTCCCCAAATGTCCCCAAATGTCTCTGATGTCCCCGATGTCCCCAAATGTCTCCAATATCCCCAAATGTCTCCAATATCCCCAAATGTCCCCAATGTCCCCGATGTCCCCAAATGTCCCCAAATGTCCCCAATGTCCCCGATGTCCCCAAATGTCCCCAAATGTCCCCAATATCCCCGATGTCCCCAATGTTCCCGATGTCCCCGATGTCCCCAATGTCCCCAATATCCCCGATGTCCCTGATGTCCCCAATGTCCCCCAATATCCCCGATGTCCCCAAATGTCCCCAGTGTCCCCGATGTCCCCTCCTCTCCAGGACACGAGGGCCGGGCCGGGATGGCCGCTCTCGTTCTCCGCCCCGGGCGCTCCCTGGATGGCCCCGGGCTCTACCGGCACCTGGAGCAGCTCCTGCCGCCCTACGCACGGCCCCGATTCCTGCGGCTGCGGGTACCGGGGGGACCGGGGGGTCCTGGGGGGTCCCAGGGGGTCCCGGAGGGTTCTGGGGGGTGCTTGGGGGGGGTTCAGGGGGAACTGGGGGTCTCAGGGGATGCTGGGCGTCCTGGGAGGGTTCTGGGGGGTGCTCAGGGGTCCCGGAGGGTCCTGGGGCGTCCTGGGAAGGGACCAGGGGGTGCTCGGGGGGTGCTCAGGGGGTACGGAGGGTGCTCGGGGGTCCTGGGGGTGCTCAGGGGGTGCTCGGGGGTCCCAGGGGTCCCGGGTGGTGCTCGGGGGTCCCAGGGGTCCCGGGTGGTGCTCAGCAGTCCCAGGAAGTGTTTGAGGGGTCCCGAGGGTGCTCGGGATGTGCTCGGGGGTCCTGGGGGTGCTCAGGGGGTGCTCAGGGGGTGTTCGGGGGTCCCAGGGGTCCCGGGTGGTGCTTGGGGGGTCCCAGGGGTCCCGGGGGGTGCTCGGGGGTCCCAGGAAGTGCTTGAGGGGTCCCGAGGGTGCTCGGGATGTGCTCAGGGCTCCTTGGGGGTCCCGGGGGTGCTCGGGGATCCCGGGCCGTGCCCAGGGGTCCCCACGGGAGGGTCCCAGCGCCGCCGCTGTCCCCAGGAGGGGCTGGACATGACCGAGACCTTCAAGCAGCAGAAGGTGCGGCTGGCGCGGGACGGCTGCGACCCCGCGCGGGTGCCGGAGCCGCTGTTCGTGCTGGACGAGGCCGCCCGAGCCTTCGTCCCGCTGGACCCCGAGCGCTGGCAGCGCCTCCAGGACGGCCGGATCCGGATCTGAGCTGCGGGGCGGGGGTCCCGTGTCCGTCCCGGGGGTCCCCGTGTCCATTTTGGGGGTCCTCGTGTCCATTTCTGGGGTCCCGTGTCCGTCCCGGGGGTCTCCGTGTCCATTTCTGGGGTCCCCGTGTCCATTTTGGGTCCCGTGTCTGTCCCGGGGGTCCCCGTGTCAATTCTGGGCTCCCCGTGTCCCTCCCGGGAGTTCCCGTGTCCATTTTTGGGTCCCGTTGTCAATTTTGGGGGTCCCCGTCTCCATTTCTGGGGTCCCCATGTCCGTCCTGGGGTCTCCGTGTCCATTTCTGGGGCCTCCGTCTCTGTCCTGGGGGTCCCCGTGTCCATTTTTGGGGTCCCCGTGTCCATTTCTGGGGTCCCCGTGTCCATTTCTGGGGCCCCCGTCTCTGTCCTGGGGGTCCCCGTGTCCATTTCGGGGGTCCCCAAATCCATCCCGAGGGTCCCAAAATCCATTTTTGGGGCCCCAAAATTCATCCTGGGAGTCCCAAAATCCATCCCAGGGGTCCCAAAATCCATCCTGGAGGTCCCAAAATCCGTCCCTGTCCCCTCTCGGGGGTCCCTGTCCCCTCCCTGTCCCCCCCCAGCCACCGGTGCCTTCCCCCCCCCCGGGGGCTCTTTGTACACAAAATTCCCCATTTTGGGGTCTTTTTTTAGCAAATAAAACTCCTTTTGTAGCAAATCTGGTCCCTGTCACCCCCAAATCGGGGACAGGGACACTGAAATTTGTGTCCCCATGTCCTGGGGTTTTTTTTGGGGTGGCCCCACCTGGATTTGGGGTCCCCCCCCCCTAATTTGCCACCCCAGCAAATGATTCTTCTCTTAATTAAATAATTGTTACAAAAGGCTGAAGTTTTAATTCATTTTATTTTTAAGCCTTTCTCCAAAAATTGGGGGATCCTCACCCTCACCCCCTCCCACACTTTGCCATCAGCCCCGAGCTCAAACCCGATGGAAAAGAGGGAAAAATGGGGAAAATCCCTTAAATTTGTGCAAAAAAAGCCCCATTTTCACCCACCCCCGCCCCAAGACAGAAACTGGGGTCTCAAATCCTGCAAATTTGGGCTGAAATCGTCCAAATTTGGACCAAACCTGACAGATCAGGGGCCAAAATCCCCAAAATGGTGCCTGAAAGATGGAAATGGGAATGAAAATCCTGCAGATGGGGCTGAAAGCCCAAAAATGGGGAATAAATTCGGCAATTTTGGGGCCGAATCCAGGAACTGGGCACTGAAATTCTGCAGATTGGGATCAGAATTCCAAGCACAGAAATTGGGCCTAAAATGCTGGAAACTGGGACCAAAACCCCACAATTCTGGACTGAAATTGGGCCTAAAATCCTCTTTTTTTTTTTTTTTTTTTTTTTCTGAAACTCGAGCTGGGCTGAAATCCTGGAAATTTTACTGAAATCCCCAAATTTGGCCAGGAAATAAAAAACCTCGGTGTGAAATCCTGAAAACTGGGAGTGGAACCCAATGGTTTGGGCTGAAATGCTGGAATTTTGGGCTGAAATCCTGGAATTCCGGGCTAAAATAATGGATTTTTGGGCAGAAATCCTGAAATTTCAGGCTGAAATCCTGATTTTTTTTTTCCTGTAATCCTGGAATTTTTGGGGCTAAAATGCTGGAATTTCGTGCTGAAATCATGGAATTTTTTTGCTGAAATGCTGGAATTTTGGGTTAAAATGCTGGAATTGAGCTGAAATCATAGATTTTTTTTTCTGAAATCCTGGAATTTTTGGGGCTGAAACCCTGGAATTTTTTATTTGCTAAAATCCTGGAATTTTGGGCTAAAATCATGGATTTTCGGGCTGAAATCCTGGAATTTTTGGGGCTGAAACCCTGGATTTTTTTTTTGCTAAAATCCTGGAATTTCGGGCTAAAATCATGGATTTTTGGGCTGAAATCCTGGAATTTTTGGGGCTGACACCCTGGAATTTTTTTTGCTAAAATCCTGGAATTTCGAGCTTAAATCACGGATTTTCGGGCTGAAATCCTGGAATTTTTTTTTGCTAAAATCCTGGAATTTCAGGCTAAAATAATGGATTTTTGGGCTAAAATCATGGAATTTCGGGCTGAAACCCTGGATTTTTTTTTTGCTAAAACCCTGGAATTTCGGGCTAAAATAATGGATTTTCAGGCTAAAATCACGGATTTTCGGGCTGAAATGCTGGGATTACTTTTTGCTAAAATCCTGGAATTTCGGACTAAAATCCTGGAATTTCGGGCTAAAATCCTGGAATTTTTTTTTTGCTAAAATCCTGGAATTCCAGGCTAAAATCCTGGAATTTCGGGCTAAAATCACGGATTTTTGGGCTGAAATCCTGGAAATTTTTTTGCTAAAATCTTGGAATTTTTGGGGCTGAAACCCTGGATTTTTTTTTGCTAAAATCCTGGAATTTTGGGCTAAAATCATGGAATTTCGGGCTGAAATCCTGGAAATTTTTTTTGCTAAAATCCTGGAATTTCGGGCTAAAATAATGGATTTTCGGGCTGAAATCCTGGAATTTCGGGCTAAAATCACGGATTTTTGGGCTGAAATCCTGGAATTTTTGGGGCTGAAACCCTGGAATTTTCTTTTGCTAAAATCCTGGAATTTTAGGCTAAAATCCGGGAATTTTTTTTTGCTAAAATCCTGGAATTTCGGGCTAAAATCCTGGAATTTCGGGCTAAAAATCACGGATTTTCGGGCTGAAATCCTGGAATTTTCGGGCTGAAATGCTGGGATTATTTTGCTAAAATGCTGGAATTTCGGGCTAAAATCCGGGAATTTTTTTTTGCTAAAATCCTGGAATGTTGGGCTAAAATCCTAGATTTTCGGGCTGAAATGCTGGGATTTTCGGGCTGAAGTGCTGGGATTTTCGGGCTGAAATGCTGGGATTTTCGGGCTGAAATGCTGGGATTTTTGGGCTGAAATGCTGGGATTTTGGGTCCAGCCCCCCCCCGGTCTCACCCCCCTCGCCCCCTCCCCAAATTCCCCCCCCGTTTCCCTCCCCTCGGGGTTCCTGGGCGCAGGAAGAGGCGCAGCCGGGGTCGTTGGAGCCGTGTATTGTGGGGAAGCCAATCCAGAATAAAAACAGTGCAAATACAGGAACAGGGATCTGGGCCCCCCCGGGGGTCCCGGTGCCGCCCCGTGTGAAAGGCACAGAATTGGGGGGTGGGGCCGGGGGCCCTGAGCCCGGAGCCCCCCGGCCCCCCCCCCCTTGCACGGTTCATGTCACACACACGAGGTCACACGACACGGACGTGACACTTCCACAACACCAGGCGGGTCCTTCCCGGCGCCTTCCCGGGACGTTTTTGCCGTTTTTTTTCCATTATTTTTTTGTCTTTTTTTTTTTTTTTTTTCTACACAATGTACAGGTTTGGTTGGTTTTTTTTTTTTTGTTGTTATTTCTCCTTTTTTTTTTTTTTTTGGTGGATTTTTTTTTTTTTTGACCTTTTTTTGTCTCTTTTTTTTTGCCTTTTTTTTTTTTTTTTTTTTTTCTTTTAATGTGTCAAGAAACAGCTCAAGTTTTATATACACGGATGAGTCCTGGTTATATCGGCAGCGAGAGCGGAAGCAAACGGGGGGCGGGATTTGGGGGGGGGATTTTGGGTGGGAATTCGGGATGGGAAATGGGAAATGCCTTTGGAGGAACCAAAACAAAAAAAAAAACACCCCCCCCTCCCCCAAAAACAGAAACCCCAAAAAAGCATTTTCACAAGCGGATCTACCCCTAGCCGGAAAAAAAGCGGGAAAAATCCTCAAAGTTTGGAGCTGGGAGGGGAAGGGGGGAGTAAAAAAAGGGAATTTTCTGGGATATCACAGCCCTGGGGGCAGCAGGAGAGGGGGGGAAAAGGGGGGCAAGCAAAAAATAATAATAATTATAATAATAATAATAATAAAAATAGGGATAAACCTATGCTGGGGGAGAGGAGGAGGAGGGGGCTGGACATGGATCCAAATTCCCCCCTGGAATTCCGGGATTGGGGTGGGGGAACTGCCTGGGATCCCAGGAGGGGCTCGGGGGCATTTTTGGGATTGGGGGGGGTCCATTTTTGGGGGGGTGGGAACTGCTCAGGAGCTTGGGAAAGGTTTGGGGTCATTTTGGGGTTGGGAACCTTCCCCCCCTTCCCCGTCCTGGGAATCACTTTTGGGATTTGGGGTCAATTCTGGGGGGTGGGAACTGCCCAGGACCCCCGGGAGGGATTTGGGGTCGATTTTTGGGGGGTGGGAACTGCCCAGGACCCCCGGGAGGGATTTGGGGTCGATTTTTGGGGGGTGGGAACTGCCCAGGACCCCCGGGAGGGATTTGGGGTCGATTTTTGGGGGTGGGAACTGCCCAGGATCATTTTTTAGGGGGGGGGGGGAACTGCCCGCAGCCCCCGGGGCTGAGACCCCCCCGGGGGGGGTGACAGGGCCGTCCCCCCCCCCAAATTTCATTTATAGCACCAAGAGTTCGGCCCCCCGGGCCCCCCCCCCCCTATTGCACTTGGGTTTGGGATTTTTTGTCCAGGTTTTCACCATTTTCATGGGTGAAAATCCCTTTTTTTTTAGGGTTTTTAAAATTCATTTTTCTCATTGAAACTCAGCCCTGGGGGGGGGGACGGGGACAGTGGCACTTGGGGGGTGGAGAGAGAATGACCCCCCCCCCCCCCCCCTCCAAAAGTAAAAGAAACCCCTAAAATAACCCAAAAATTCAGGTTTTAGCCCCAAAAAAACCCGATTTGTCAAAGTGCTCCCGGGGTGAGAATAGGGGGGGGGGAGGATTTTGGGGGAGGGAATTGGAAAAGGGGAAAATGGGAAAATGGGGGTGGGCAAAGGGGGGGAGCAGCTGGAAATGATCAAAGCCAATGAAAACACCCCAAAATTCTGAATACAAAACCCCATTAACCCCCCCAAAAATCAGAATAAACCCATAAACCCCATTTTTCCTCTGCCTCTGGGGGTCCCGGGGGGGATTTTGGGGGGTCCAGCCCCCCCCGGGGTAAGTGCTCATTGAATTTGGGGAGG